AAGAGGACGGTCGAGCACTGCGGCCGGAGATGGCTCGAGGCGGCGCACAGCGCAGGGCACTTCACTCGCTCGGACAAGGATATGTGTGCAGTGCGCGGTGTGGGCCGGGCGGGGCCGGGCTGGTGAACCGGTACCAAAAGCTAACTGTTCCCCCCTGAGCTGCTAGAGCACTACTCGCTGCTGCCCGCACCGGCGCGGACAAACGCCGAGCTTCGTTTCATGGGCTTACAGAGAACACTGCCGTAGTAAATGACGGCAAAGGCTTGTACCTCGGCGACGTTCTCGCTCCACACAAGCTCCGCCATTCCCCCTACTAAATGATGCTGTTTGTTATTGTTTCTCCTCGGCGTGCAGCGAGCAGATCTCAGAACGTGACCTCATCCTCCTCCTCCTGGTCCTGCCGGCCAGTCCGGGCGGTGGTGACGTTTTGTTGTGGGGGGAAAAGCGATGCCGCGAGTCGCCCGTCGCAGCCCGCCCCGTCCAAACAAAACTACAGCCGTAAATTTGGGCAACTGAGGGACAGCAGCGCCGGGTCGCGGGGCCGGGGGGAAGGCCCCGAGGGGAGGCCGGGGGAGGGAGTTTGGACGTAAAGTGAAAGTGTGTTGTCGTTTTTGAGGAGAAGGTGACGACCACGTACGCGGCGACAACAACAGCCGCCCATAATAGGGTCTAGGTGTGCGTCGTGCCGGGTCCCTGCTGGGTCCTGCCTGCCTGGCCGTGATAAGCTCCCCTCAGACGCTTTTCAACCCTTTCAGGCGGCAGCGGGAGTGCGGGTTATCGCCCACCCTCCAGATTTCGTCTCCTCGGAATGTGCATCACAGAGGAAACCTCTTCAAGGTCGCAGCGGAGACTCGACATGGTTAACCGAACGATTCATCGCAACAACAGAAATTGTCATGTTTCTAAAAACGTTTGGCAGTGTAACGCGAGGAAACGAGGTGACTCCAGTGTCGCTCCCTCCAGTGGCAGCGACTCTAATTTGCCATGAGCAGCAGACGTTAACGCCATCTCCGAAGCTGAAGCCGGGACCAAAGGCGGCCGAGGGTGGGCCCCGGCCGTCAGCCGTCAGGACTTGCGGCTCGGCCGGCCCGAGATGCACGCCTGTTGATGGCGGCGAGGCATTTGCGCGATGCTTCGCCCCGGCCCCCCGCGCGCTGCACCCGCGCGCCCCGCTGCGGCATGCCCGTGACACTAACCCAGCACTAACCCTGCAGCTTTGGCACGTTGCACGCAGCGGCTGCAGACCAATCCCATTTCACGAGCAAATCAGTATCAAATCAGTCTTGTTGTTGGAATTGATGAACTTCCAGCGTCACGGGAACAGTAACACGTAGCCCTCCTACAAAGTGCAAGTGTTTTCTGAACAGACAGACAGACAGACAGACAGACAGACAGACAGACAGACAGACAGACAGACAGACAGACAGACAGACAGACAGACAGAC